TAATTTTGAATAAAAATAATGTTGTTATTTTTCACTAATATCTTCTAACCTGACTTGCATCCAATTTATAGAGGCAGGAAAAAGCCAATTATAATCTCATTGCTTATAGTAAAGATCCATATGCAGTATTGGAGTCACGGTTCTCTTACTTAAAAACACATTGTTTTGATAATTTCATTCAATTTTGTTTTCCATATTGTGTGGTAATGTGCAATACTGCTCAGTATTACAGTTGACACCACATCTTCTTTATTCATTAAGGTATATTGACCTCTTTTGCTCACTGTTGAAGGAGAGTAACTTTTCTTTTGAACACATCCATGTTGCAGCTGCTCAGATTTCAAGGCTTAACCAACCTGCATTCCTTAATTTTTTGGCCTGATGTTATTGCTTGCTAAATTAGCACCGGCACACCTTTTCTCTCTGTGTTGTGTGATTCAGCTATTCTACCATCCTTTCAGGTCTCTTTGTCCTCTGCAGTGCTCTCTGTTCAAAACTGCCCTTGTCTCTATTTTTCTAACGTGTTTTACTACACATTTCTACCCCTTCTTGCTTTTCTGTTTTAGATGTACTTCTGTTGACTTTTCTATTCCCCTTTCTTCCTCCTTGGTTTCACATCTGTTAGATTCAATCCCAATTTCTCTTCCGCATAATCTCTAAAACATGGCTAGACTAGTGTGGTCATCCATGCTATTTTATACAGGTATAGGAAGAAAAAAATCTTTTCATTGGGTCCATTCCTTTGCATATCTCCAAACTCCCCCTCATGGTCATGCCTCTGTAAATGTCCGGTTCATGTGAGCTGCTCCCCTGCACGTTAATTCACACGACAAAAACGCAGAAGAAAGGGGTATAGAGTGATTGGTGGGATGCTTAGTTCATGTTGTTCAGTGAGTTGCCTGTGAGTTGTAAATTGTGGAGCTCTATCTGAGGGTTTGATTCTGCTACTGTTTCTCCAGGATAAGGCTCTTGAGGAGATTCTTGTCAGAATACATATTAATTGAACGTCCCTAAGTTGAAGAATTTATCAGTCCGTATTATCTTTCCAGCTGGTTATTGTACTATCTTAATCATTTTCCTGCCTCTCTCGGGAGCCTTTTTACTATGTAAGATTCTGCATGCTGTCCCAACTTCTATTTGGTGTCTCATGTAACACTTAAGTAACGAACGAGCTTCAGTAACAAGATGAAGTGAGTAAACATTTCAAGCCCATACTTTGTAAATCTCACCCCCTAAGCAGTGTCACTAAGACACATTTAGTCTAGTAAATCTACAGTAAATGTTGTAGTAATGTTTTTCAAAGTCCTCTTTAGATATTTTGTTGGCCCTTATACTGAACACAAGACTTCAGTGTATTTCCCATATTCCTTCAAATTCTTTTCTATTCCACCTGATTTCTATACAGTATACATGTTAAAATTGCCCACCTTCATTATCTAATATAACTGCAGTTACTCACAAGGAAGAAGGGAAATTTAACAGAATATTTATTTACCTTACATTTTGACTTACATTCTGTCACTTAGCTTTTGTTTTACTTCAAACAGACTTTGAACAAGTAATTGCTGAACAATAAAAAGTAGTCAAGGAAGTTTATACTTTTATAAGAAGTTAAGCAATTTACATCTATATAAATTCTCATAAACTACAATTAATGCCTTAACTTTATAATACATTTAATAGGTTTTTTTACATTAATTAAAAATAATAGTATCTGCAGATTGGTTAATAACGTAATATATGGGTCTAAGAAAAGATCAGAAAATAATTAGTAGTTTAGTTCTATCCTTTTGAGTGTACTTTATTTGTAATTTTGTTCTTTCTGTACCTTATCTCTAATTTTACTTCTAATTTTAATATACTTTTTAGTATTTTAATGAAAATCTTTTCAAAGTTATGATATTATATGATTTATACAAATGGGAAATTATTTCTATTTGTGCTAAGGAAAGGTGAATAGAGTGAACAGAGAAGCAGCATACCCAAGCTGAATTAACAGAGTTTGTCTAGTCACTAGCTAATCATTCTTTGAGTGTGATTTGTTTGTTTTTACTTATCTGTTTCAGTAACACTCAGTCAAACGCTGTGCACACATTCAAAAAGATGTGGGTAAAGAATATTGTGTGTGTTTGTTAGTTTTGATGAAAGGCTGTCATAGCTTTTAACGGACAATTAAAATGATGTGTTCTTATCTAGGGTTTTTTTAAATAAAAGTAAAATAATGGAAAAAATATGAAGATTAGACTTCTGCTGTTAGCCAATTTAATGTTTTTGAATTTGATAGTTTTCATACTATTTCATTTTTCTCATTTCAAGGATAGTGCTTCCAAACACAATAGCCACTTCTAGTATCCTGTCCGTGTTTAACAAAGAATTATTTTATTTATAAGGCACCTTTACAGCATGGGTGCGTCACTGATGTAATTACTGAGCTAACTACTTTCTTAAAATTGAGCCATCTGATTTAAAAAAACTCCTAAAGAATTACATTCCTTTTAAATTATGCACTTATGGTTCTGATAATGCCTGCTAATCTTATCAGTCATATGTTAGCAAAGTGGTGGCTTTTGTCCCTAGGACACCAAAGTGTAATATATAATTAGTTTGTCATTTTTATGAGCCAATTATCACGTGATTCAGATCATGTTAGTGAGCTGGTTTATTTTTATTTTGTACTCCAAACTATGCATTCTGTTTTAAAAAATCCAGGTTTCCTGGAAATTGTGCAACTATGGAGTAAAATGCACAGAGCTAGGCCTAAATCAGTGACAGGCATAATTTTCTTTTTAAGTCTAAAAGTTTATAATCCCTAGAATTCTCCCTTCAGATGAAAATATGGCCTCTAAACATTTAAAAATTATTTGGAAAACACTCCTAGGACCAAGGAGAATGTGATCAAAAAGAAAATGTGCTCAAAATAGGGAAGAGTTTAGAAGTTGATCCCTTGGTGTGATTCTGCTGAAACTGAATATTGTCACTTGAAATACATCATCATCTTTGCATAAACTTCGTAGCTGTGAGGAGCAGCATGCCGTCCAGTGGCTGCTATCATCCATCATTAAGAAGTAAACTGTGCTAATTAACAACAAATTGTAAAAAGATGGAATGATGTGTTGTTGCTTAGTTGTTTACCTGTAGAAACAGGGAACAGTAATTAAATTTTAAAAAGGCTGAACCTGAATATTGTCACTTGAAATACATCATCATCTTTGCATAAACTTCGTAGCTGTGAGGAGCAGCATGCCGTCCAGTGGCTGCTATCATCCATCATTAAGAAGTAAACTGTGCTAATTAACAACAAATTGTAAAAAGATGGAATGATGTGTTGTTGCTTAGTTGTTTACCTGTAGAAACAGGGAACAGTAATTAAATTTTAAAAAGACTTCAAATATACTTAGAATTGTACAGAATAATGATTTCATATTTGTGTATTTGAGGGTGTACTTACAGCTTGAATCAATGTTGTAGCTAAATAGTGTTGAAAATAATTTTACTTAAAAGTAGTGTAACTGTTTCCTCCTGTTCTTAAGCACTGGGATGTGAGACAATATGAATAACTACCTAGCAGAAGCTTCTAAAATACACAGCTCAGAGAAGGAATTTTAGTTTCTGACACTGAGCATTGATAAACACAATAATGAACTTATGAATGCGTTCTCTATTTTTAAAATAAGTTGTCCAGAATCTAGTTTGCTGCTAGCAAGGAAGTACACACCAGTAATTGCAGCTATAATCCACTTTCCTTTTTGCTTTTCTTCCAAAATTCCTCAAAAATGGAGTGTGTCGAAAGTGTTTTGAACTGGACATGGTATTTTAAATACTTTTTGACTGGCCGTAGCAATTATTTCTGCCAATGGAAAAAATTAAATAAGAGAAGAAAGTAGAACTTTTCAGTTCAAGAGTGCCAAGAAATGTGGTGTTTATAGTAAAAGACTGATTTGGTGTGCATTAGTGAAAATTAGTTTGCTGAGTTCTCCTTGCTTGTAAAAATTAACTCGCAGCTTCTTTCCCTCTGCATTTTGCATATAGAATTGTAAAATAGGTGTTTATAGCATCAGCATTTTAAAAGCACTGATAGCTGGGCAGATCCTGTCTTAGGAGTGCCAAGATTTTTTTTTTCCTTTTTATCACTGTTTAGCACATAATTTCCCCTGCCCTTTCCACTGTCTGTAAGAGGAGAGTCAAGTCCCTTTTTGTTAAATTCTTTGTTTCTCCTTTTCCTCCTAATTAAGCTTCTGATTAGGTTCTTCTTGTTAAGTCCCCACAGAAACAAGGGTTCTGTATGCAAGACCCTAAGAGCAAAAGGCAAGAAACTGAGGAATCAGATCTGTGTTCTTCTTTGCCTTTATCTCAATAGTGCTTTTAGTAGGCTGGTCTGTAGCTGCACACAAGATAGGTTTAACTACCCCTAGACAAGAACCCCTTCTAATTTGCCTCTCCTCCTGTTACCAGATCAGTGAGGCTGGTCAGTCAATTCCATGTAAAGCAACAGGGAAAACATTAAGGAAAAACTTGCAGATGCTTTCATTTCAAGGTTTTCAGAGGAAATATAATGTGTAGCCTGGCATGTGGCCTAATAAAATAGTATATTCTATATATACAACAGATTGAGCCAGCTAGCTTTTGGGTTTTTTCAGAAGAGTATCTTCTTGCCTTGACACGGCAGCTTTTTTGGTGGGAAAGATACTCCACAAAACCCAGGTACTCCATAAAACCCAGACTCTGCAAGAACAGAGAGATTGTTTGCCTAGTGACATTTTCAGTGAGCAATACAGGCAGATTGTCCTTTTGCTTTTAATTTTCTCTATTTTAAAATGTGCTCTGATTTACTTTTGGTACTTTATTAAGTGCCTTTGAATAGTAATAGCAGTTTGTTGGGTTAACGTGCCTAAAAAAAGCTAGGGTGATGGTTCTTACAGATAGAGTATATACCAAGCAGAGCCAGAATATCTTTAATTTCTTTGAATCTAACGATGTCTTTTCTATGTATTTTGTTTCAGAATTAAAGTGGCTCAGCAATCAGTAAGCAAGTTAACTGCAGAGAAGAAAGTTGAAACGAAGAAAATCAATCCTACAGCTAGCCTGGTATGATGTGTTTCTCAGTATGACGTTCAGAAGGGGGTTTATGACACTATTCTTGTCATTCAGAATGATGGGAGGTTTCTGCTGCTGTTGGCGTAGTATGCTAAGTTTGAACGTAGCAGAGTGATTTTCTTCCCAAGGAGAAATCTTTAAGCTTATGCCCTTATGCCCTAGTTGTGCCTAAGCATGGCTCTGCTATTTTAGATAACAACATATGGTAACAGCTTCTTTTCTGATTTCTTCCCCCCTTCCACTGAAGTCTTCTTGTATTTTCTTCCATGCTCGCAGTGCATTGAGGCTCACTGCATATACTTGTCCAATGGCTGAGTGTGGGGGGTTTTTCAAAACCTTACAAAATCTTGTTTGCTCAGTTAAATAATGGTAGAAGGGATTAAATCCCCATTTTGTTCCTTGCTGTTCCCCAGTTTTTTTGAAACGACACAAAAAGAGAATTAATAATTTACACTGTAGATAAAACCTTTTTTGTCTGTGTGCAAGCCACAGAGGTTAGATCAGCATTTCTCAAACTGTAGGAAAAAAGAGACTAAGGGAAGGAAATGTACATGAAGGAATCAGTATATTATTTCCATTCCCAGCAGAGCATATCAGTTGCAGGACAGGCGGCAGAGATACGAATGACTACACTTGCTTGGGAAGAAGTCATTAAACAACATAATCTAGCTAATGCTAAATTAGAGCCTTTATGTCAGCAGAAACCATTCCAGACAACAGAAGGTATTAGATTCACAAGAATTTGAAATGTATCTGGTTTTCTCTAGCTGCACTGGTCTTCACAGAGCTGTGTATTTTTAAAGGTACACAGTATTTGACAAGTGTGTAGCTAAAGCAAGCTCAGTTTCTCTACAGTAAGTAACAAACTGGTTCTGAGCCTTCCTTGAGTGCTCCAGGTGTTAATTTTTTTTTTAATTAAAGAAAACTCTAGTCTACTGTGACTCGTTTAGTACTTCTCAGACTTCTAGACCAAATGCTCATGGCAACTTGAGAGGAAATGGAAAATTATAGACAAGAATGATAATAAAACTCTTTCTTTTTCTTTAACAGAAAGAAAGACTACGTCAGAAGGAAGCCAATGTGACTGCCAACTGAAAGAAGAAAGATGAAAATGATAGTGTGACTTCATACCTTGCATGATGCTTTACTACACCCATGGCCCAGGGAGCACCTTATATTAGATACTGAATTCTGCTTTGCTGATCTGTTCCGAGACAATCCACTAAAGACTTTTCAGTTCCTTCGGAGGGGTTTGTACATTCAGTGGAGGGAATTCTAAGGTTTTTACATGGCAAGCCAAAATTATTTTCTGTAACTCTTCCTTACATTGCTTAAAATGTATCTGGTTGTTAATGGTTATTTAAAGTACTCTTTGCATAATGCATTAATATGGAAGAGCTAAAATGAGCATTTTGGATGCTGAGTTAAGTAACGACTAACAACCTGTAGGTTATTTACAGGGCTTTGTGTAGATGAGAGCCAATATGCCATTCAGCTCACAAAAGACTATTACATCATAGTTTTTGTTACTTGAGCAGTAACTGAAGTAAAATTGACTGATTCTAAATAATTTTATGGTGTTTCAGTATTGGATGCATCTTTCTAAAACTGATTAAATGTAATTATAGATTTATCCTGTATTTTACTATAAATATTTTTATAGAAGCTTCAGCTTATGCCATACATTGAAATGGAAACAATATTTTGCACATGAAAAGGAATAGCTTCAAATTCTTTAGTTTTATGATTGATGGCATAACTGATTAATAATTTTTATGCTTTTAACCTAACATTTCCTAAATTTTGAGCTTCAAAAGAAAAATTATTAAAATGTATATTTTTATTTCATTATATATTGAAAATATCAATTCCATAAAATGATGGGTTTATTAGTCATTATTCATTGAACTAAAATACAACAATGTGTCTCCATGAAGTTACACATTTGCCATTAAATCTCTGGCTTTCAATTCTATTGAAAGCTTTCTTTTAAACAGTGAATATCTCACTCTAAAATATATTATGCAGCCTGCTCTGAACCCCCTATATTTGTATGAAGAAATTGTCCAGCATACATATATATATATAAAAAATTAAATTTAATAAGTAAAACTTGAGGAAGAAATAAGAGTCTTACTGTCCTCCTGTAACATTATAACCATTGCCTGTAAAGTAGCAGAGCCTGAAAAAACCCCTACAGAATATCCATTGTTACTTGAAGATTCTTACTGCATTTCAAGGATTTGGACTCTTAGAAGGAGAGATCTTGAAGCAGAGGTTAATTTAAGGTAAAACAGAAAAGTGATTTTTAAATACAAGTAGATAATGGCCTATAAATAGGAATGACAAACTGGAGAAAATCTGCTTCTGCTTGCTGTCCGTAAGAGAGAAATCCCTTTCTTTATGGTAATGGTGTCTGAAGCTGGTTATGAAGATAAATTAGATGAAGCAAAAAAGTACAAAAAGGTAATGGGGGAAGGTATTAGTCCTTTGCTTAGGAACTGGAAAGAACATACATGAGACAGACATGGGTTATCCATATGGCAAATTAGGTAGAGAAACTGTGATGAAACCTAAGGCAAAGTCATCCCTAGAAGTGTATGCTTATTAAGAAAAACAGCAGTTGTGGAGACCTCTGTTCATTAATTAACTTGAAGATTTCATATATTGCAGGTTTCTTAAATTAATATCTCTCTCATTCCTGCATAAATAAAAATAAGGGAATCAAGATTCCCTTGTATGTTTTAGAGTTTGTAGCTGCTGCAGATATACTCAAGATGTGTAAGCATAATTCTTATGAAAACAGTCAATAATATACCAGCAAAAATAATCTGATTTGTTGTTTGACTATTTCCATTGCAGAGAAATAAATTCCAAAGATTTAAGTTTTCTGTCTTCCACCAAATAGGTAAAGTACATTTGTTTCCAATATTATTAGTGATAAACAACAGGAGCAATAATACTTATAAAAGCCAAAGAACAAGGCAATTCTGATGAGTGTTTAAGCAAACAAGTGTTGAGTTTTGATATGGTTTTCTATCTGTCATGAAGATAGTGTATATTGCCATTTGACTTGATCGGGTATTTTTCAAGGAAATGTTTTACTTGAAATATTAATCAACAAGAGTAGCACTGTTTGTGGAAAAGGACTGGTCTTGAAAATTCTCATTAGGAATATATTATGGAAAAAATATTTTAAATTACTGAAATATCCTCTTTCAAAATTTCTAAATGTGAAGTTTCATTTTTCAGTTCAAATTGACTTTTCATTTTGCAATGTTGAAAAATGTATATAAAAAGGGACTAAAATTAAAATTATTGATGTAAAGCATTCCTTGATCAGATTTATAATTCTTTTTTCAGATTATCAATTTACCAAAGTTTTGAGAATTTAGGCTATTTTTTCAGAAGATTCAAAAACTTATATAGTACAGAGGCATTGTTTCTTCCTCATCTTCAATTGGACAGGCTGGAGGGGGTCCAGAGAAGGGCCACCCAGAAGATCAAGGGGCTGGGGAGCCTGCCG